TAGGACTACAGTTTCTTGCCACCATGCCCAGCTAATTTTTAATATTTTTTGTAGAGATGAGGTCTTGCCATTTTGCCCAGGCTGGTCTTGAACCCCTGGCTTCGTGGGCTCCTCCTGCCTATCCTCTCAAAGTGCTGAGATTACAGGTATGAGCCAGTTCCAAGTTCCAAATTACATTAAATTAATCAGTATTTAAAGAACTCTAAACTCAAAAGTTTTTTTTTGTTTTTTTGTTTTTTTTTAATTTTACTCTGGGATACATGTGCAGAACATGCAGATTTGTTACATAGGTATACATGTGCCATGGTGTTTTGCTGCACCTATCAACCTGTCATCTAGGTTTTAAGCCCTGCATGCATTAGGTGTTTGTCCTAATGCTCTCCCTCCCCTTGCCTCCCACCCCCACAACAGGCCCCCATGTGTGATGATTCCCTCCCAGTGTCCATATGTTCTCATTGTTTAACTTTCACTTATGAGTGAGAACATGTATTATTTGCTAAGCTCCTAAGTTTTTGAGCTTGGATCTTGTGTGTGTGATTTGTAATTTTTTTGTGTGCAAAAAGGCAACATTTCTGTGGCAATACATCATAGATGCTGTGTGTGTATGTGAGTGTATGTGTATATGTGTGTTTTAACAGATGAAAAAGTGAAACCTAAAGAATTATTTAATATACTTAGACTTTTGGCTTCCTCTAAAAAAATCCAGATAATAAAACTATTGTAATTTATTGAAGCAAGATAGCAAAATGTTTTATAAGTTAGCAGGTAGCATAGAAAAAGAATACCAAGAAACTTTTGGACAACATGGGCCTTTTTTTAAATAGTCACAACCAGTACGTTACCTCAATCAGTGGTCCCTAAACTGGGGTGATTTTGACCCCCAAAAAACATTTAACAATGCCTGGAAATTTTTTTTGTTGTTGTCACAACTGGAGAGAGTTTCTCTGGCATCTAGTGAATTGAGACCAGGGAGTTGCAAATTATCTTATAATACACAGACAAGTGCCTTATAACAAAGAATTCCCCAGCCCAAAATGTCAACAGACATGCCAACCAATTTGAGAGGAAATGCCTTTGTATGTATGTTAGTTTTGAAAACATCTGTCACTGCTCAAAATAAGCCAGCAGCCTCTCTTAAATATATGACTGAAATTCTTTCCATCCCTGAACTTCTTTGGAAGACACCAAGTAGGTGGTTTGCACACCAAGTCTTTGTTGGAGAGAATATGTTTGAAACCTAATCTGCTGACTCTTGAACCCAGGAACCATATATATAGACTATTTTTACATTTAAGGTCAGTAACTGCTTCAGTTTCATGGTGGCCTAAAACATTGTCATAGATCTTACATTTGGCTTAATCTTGAGAAAAATTATCTTAAAGCATTTATCATAATTTTCTCTCTGTCGTGTTTCCAAAAATATAACTATGTATCTTTGGTGATGATTATTATATATATTTTACATTGATTATTATATATATTTTTTGTAAATAGTTATCATGTCCATCTTTTGATGACATTTGATTGCTTTTGTGGTAAATTTGTACCTGGGTAGTGTTTTCTATTTTTCTCATTAGAATAACTTTTGCGTAAGTCGGGTTCTCGTTTGGTCTTTCAGTAAGTTTAAATGCGTAACAAGACTGTCTAAAGAGGGCTTGGGTGACGGTCTCTGAATTCACTGGGCATTCATAGATGGGCCTACTTAATAGTGCTCAAAAGAGAGGGACATATTAAACATGTGGGGGCTTCTTCAAACCATAAATGTCAGAAGATTCTGCTACTATGTTTCTTTGGAACTTAGTGTTAAATGTTCAGTATTTGCTTTTTTATCCTAGGCTCCTATTATTTTTTAATTTGTGGTGGTTAATTTTATGTGCCAATTTGACTGGGCTATGGGGTGCTCCAATATTTGGGTGTTTCTGTGAGAGTGTTTTAGATGAGATTAACATGTGCATTGGTGGAGTGAGTAAGGCAGATTGCTCTCATGCTGGGTGGTTTATAATGTTATTGCGGTTGTTAATGTGGTGGGCTTCATCCATTTAGCTGGATAGAACAGCCTGAACAGAACAAAAAGGCTGACCCTCCTCCTAACAAGAGAGGATTCCTCCTGTCTGTCTTTGAACTGAGACATTGGTATCTTCCTGCCTTTGAATTCAAACGAAAATATTGCTTCTTCCTGGTTGAACCCTCCAGCCTTCTGACTGGGGCTCCACCATTGGCTCTCCTCAGTCTCTAGCTTGCCAGTTCACCCTGCTGATCTTGGGACTTTTCATCCTCTATAATCACATGAGCCAATTCCTGATAATAAATCTCTTTGTATAGAAAGAGATTTTTATAAGAGATTGATTTTACTGCTTTGGAGAATCCAGATGAATAATACACTATTATGTAAATAATGGAACAATACCAATATTAATAATGATAAAAGTCATGGCTAACATTTGTTGCTCATTGAACTGAATATTTGTTACTTGTGTTTGTTTAGCACATTTTTCCCCTTTTAGCTTTGAATACCTCTTTTTTATGAGGAGTTCATTTATTGCAAATATGATGAAATGGACCTAGCTTTTTCTCAAAGATCAAAGAGTGGGCATGAAGAGTCCATCAGTGTGCTATTCTTTTCTCTAGTCATAGTGATTGGTTCAGAAATGGGCATATGATCCAAACAAAACCAATCAGAATTTTTCTTTGGGCTTCCCTCCAGGATAATTTGAGAAAACCCTCTTTTTCCATTAAGGTAGGATAGAAGCCAGTCTGAGAATGAAGCCAGGTAGAAACAAGCAGAGCCAAAAGATGGCAAGACAGAAACTTGACTTTGAGTTCCTGGAGCCATCTGTGCCTAAAGACTAATTGCTTTTTAAGTTTCCCAATTGCAATTCCCTTTTGTGTTTAAGCTACTTTTAGTTAGGGTTTGGACACTTACAACTGAATGGTAATAAGAACTATGTTCTGGGCACTTTTTAAAGTGCTTCATATGGATATAGTCACTTAACTTTCATTAAAACCATGTGAAGTAAGTATCTTTATTTCTATATTTTACAGACAAGGAAATTAAAGTTAAGAGGAGTAACATGTCCAAGGTCATAGCTGATGAGTGGTACAAGGGAGGTTAGAATCAAACAGGCTCATCAGAGTCTTCACTGAGACCCACTATATTCAGGTGCTTATGCTGTGGAAAGCATAGATCATCTCATTTAGTTCTAAAACTATCCTAAGAAGTATTATTTTCTCTGTTTTATAGATTGGGAAACTGAGGCTTAATAAAGCTAAGTAATTTACCTAAGACAATATAATAGTAGTAGATATAGCAGTATGTTTTTGTGTATCTCTTTTTAATTTTAAAACTGGATGGACAATTTTAAAACTAAGTGATACTTCTTTTCTAAGTAGGAAGATAAGGATAAAAAATAGGCACAAAAATATTGTTCCATAACTTAAAGTTTTATCTTCAAAGTGCTATAAATAATTTAAAGTCTTGGACTGGGGGGGGTCTTTCAGTTTCTTATGGGAGTAATCTGTTAATATCTATTTATTAAATAAATCATGGATAAATGTGACATCTTCTGAAGCTCAGTAGCCACTCATGGGACTTAGCAGCCAAAAATGAAGAGAGCGTGTGCCTGAAGAGCCCATCCTGATCCCCCTCCTTCCTCTGAGGTGATGAGTAAGGTTTTACTCCCTTTTGTCTAGATTCCACAAAAAGTACAGATTTGTTCAGTCATAATTTCACCTATGCTATCGGGTGTACCAGTTAGGCAAAATCAGGGGTGGAGGTTGCCTGGGTTTAATTTAACGTTGGTATCATATCCCTCTTCTTGTATTTCCAAAATTTATTCTTAAATAAAAATATGCTCAAATTAATCATTCTGTATCTGCTGGAAAAAAAACTACTACATTGACATGATACAATCTTATATATACTTCTATTAGAAAAACTTAGATGGCAAAAGCATTATAAAATCTCCTAGAAATCACTGCTTCATGATTTATTTCACATGTGGCATTTTTTTTTCTTGTCGTTGTTGTTTTTGAGACAGAGTCTTGCTCTTTCACACAGGTTGGAGTGCAATGGCTTGATCTCAGCTCACTGCAACCTCCGCCCCCACTTCCAAGGTTCAAGAGATTCTCCTGCCTCAGCCTCCCAAGTAGCTGGGACTACAGGCATGCACCACCATGCCCAGCTAATTTTGTATTTTTTGTGGAGATGGGGTTTCTCCAAGTTGGTCAGGCTAGTCTCAAACTCCTGACCTCAGGCGATCCGCCTGCCTCGGCTTCCCAAAGTGCTGGGATTATAGGCATGACTCACTGTGCCTGGCTGTGCTGCAGTTTTATATGTCTCTATTTAGCAGATTTATGCCATTCTCTTGGGGCATATCAGGTGACTTCCTCACTTTATGGCTACCAAAATTAAAAGTTAACAGCCTCAACTTTCTGCTACCAACACAATAAGAAATAGTTTCTTGAGAATAGGATAGTCATATTAAAAATACTGTATTTTGTTTGTGGATTATATAGTAATAAGAAGAATACTATATGTATGTAAAAAATATATCTATTTTGACATTGCTAGGCATTCATTCTCTATGGCTAATCATACTGAGTTGCCTAGGTTGGTCCAGATGAGGGATTAATGACTGGCCTTCACTGGTTGGGGAATGTGTAGGATTTTTTTCTCCCATATAAGTGATTACAAAATAAAAACCTCATGTGTCTCTGCTATAATTTGGATATTTGACCCTCCCAGACCTCAAGTTATTTATTTATTTTTGTCTGAGACAGGGTCTTACTCTGTCACCTAGGCTACAGTGCAGTGTAGTGGCATGATCACAGCTCACTGCAGCCTTGACCTTCTGGGCTCAAGCAATCCTCCCACCTCAGCCTCCTGAGTAGCTGGGACCACAGGTAAATGCCAGCACGCCTGACTAATTTGTTTATTTGTTGTAGAGATGGGGTTTTACTGTGTTGCCGAGGCTGGTCTCGAGCTCCTGGGTTCAAGCAATCTTCTGGCTTCAGCCTCTCAAAGTGTTGAGATTACAGGTATGAGCTACTGTGCCTGGCCTCATGTTGAAATGTGATTCCTAACATTGGAGGTGGGGGCTAAGGGAGGTGTTTTGGTCATGGAGGCAGATCTTTTATGAATAGATTAATGCCCTTCCTGGAGTGGTGGGTAGTGAGTGAGTTCTGCATTAGTTCCTACAAGAGCTGGTTGTTAAAAAGAAACACACTTTCTTCTCTCTTGGTTTTTCTTTTGCCATGTGATCTCTACATGCCTGTAGCTATCCTTTTCTTGCTACCATGCGTGAAAGGAACTTGGGGTTCTCACCAGAAGCTGCTGCTGGCACCATGCTTCTTCTACAGCCTGCAAAACTATAAGCCAAATAAATCTCTTTTAATAAATTACCAAGCCTCAGGTATTCCTTTAAAGCAACATAAATGGATGAAGACAGTCTGGTTTCATAATTCTTATGACTGCTAGTCAGTGTCCACCAACTTTCTGGCTTTGGTTGATCTGATCATGGGATGTCATATCTCTAACTTCTAAGAGGCAAGTCAGGCCATAGAAAGAAATAGGTACTATTGACTGGTCTTTTGTCTTCATCATAAAGTGAACAAAATCTGGGGTTGGCTACTGCCTGGTGTTGGCAGGAAGAGAAATGAAAAATGTATCAAAGAGGCAGGTGTTACTGGTAACTGCACTAAATTAAAAGTCTGTCTTCATACAGCTTTTTTGACTCACTTCACCAAGTTAGGCTTCAAGTAAGGCCACTTCTTTTTTGTTTCCCCAGTGAACTTCTTGAGCACTGGTAAGAAACATTTGGAGAAAATTCTCCTAAGAAGCCCTGATCCACTTGATGCCCTGACAAAAAATAAAGTTAATCTATTATGGTAATAGAAAATATCAAAATTAAAACCGTGTCCAAAACCAGGTAAGCCAAAGGTCATTGTTATCTTCCAATAGGATGTTGTGCATCTACACTGAAAGAGAATTTTTTTTTTTTTTTTTTTGAGACGGAGTCTTGCTCTGTTATCAGGCTGGATTGCAGTGGCATGAATTCTGCGCACTACAACCTCCACCTCCTGGGTTCAAGCAATTCTCCTGCCTTAGCCTCCTAAGTAGCTGGGACTACAGGTGTGCACCACCACACCCAGCTAATTTTTGCATTTGTTTTTACTAAAGATGGGGTTTCACCATGTTGGCCAGGATGGTCTCGATCTCTTGACCATGTGATCCACCCACCTTGGCCTCCCAAAGTGCTGGGATTACAGGAATACACCCCTGCGCCCCACCAAGGGAGAATTTTTTAAAAACAATCTGATTATCTATCTGTACCCTACTTCTTCATTTAGTTTGGGATATCTATGTCTTTAAGTATTTTCCTGAAATTTGCTCCTCTTCAAAGTCTAGTGGATGAAGTTTTGTGGAAATTTCAATAAATGTTCAAATTGCTATTTCTTTTAGCTTTGCTAGAGGTAACAAAACAAAATAAAACAAAACACCAACCAACCAACCAGGACACTCCTTTCAGTTCCTTCCAGTATCATAACTCAGAATTCTTGCTAAGGGTTAGCAGGCTACTGTGTTAGGCAGAATTAATGCCCCCCATCCATGTCCCATAGATATTTACACCCAAATCCCTGGAATCTGTGAGTGTATTTCATGGCAAATGCTTTGCAGATGTAATTAAGTCCAAGATCTTGACTTTATCCTGTATTATTCTAGTGGGCCCAATGTATTTCGAAGTTTATTTAACAAGGGCAAGAAGAAGGCAGGCGAGAGACAGCAGATGTGACATCAAACATAGAGATCAGAGTGATGAGTTTACTTCAAGGAGGTCATAAGCCAAGAAATGCAGGCAGTGTCTAGAAGCTAGAAAAGGCATGAAAATGGATTCTCCTTTAGAGCCTCCAGAAGGAATTCAGCTGTGCTGACATCTTGATTCGAACCCAGTGAGATTCATTTAGTAATTCTCATTTTCAGAACTGTAAGATACTAAATTGCATTGTTATAAGCCACAAGGTTTTGTTAGTTTGTTACAGCAGCGTTAGGAAACGAAAACAACTGCAAACACCTTCCCCTGTTCATCAGCCCCAGTAAGCACGAAACACTGGCCGGACTCAGGACTCCTAGAACACCTAAAATTGTCTGATTTTAGGCACAGGTCTCAAAGCAGTGAGAGTAATATTAAGTATGGTTGATGGTATTGAATTAATAAGAAAATAAAATTTGTGTGAAAGTCTTTTACTGATTTCTGTTTCTTTAGTCCTAGAATTTCCATTTCTTTGTGATTCAGAAATTAAAAGTTTAAGAAGTGTCTTAGCACTCACCTGTCTCTCTTTTTTTTTTTTTTTAAGATAGAGTTTTGCTCCTGTTGCCCAAGCTGGAGTGCAATGGTGCAACCTTGGCTCACTGCAAACTCCGCCTCCTGAGTTCAAGCGATTTTCCTGCCTCAGCCTCCCGAGTAGCTGGCATTACAGGCACACACCACCACACCCAGCTAATTTTTTGTATTTTTAGTAGAAACAGGGTTTCACCATGTTAACCAGGGTGGTCTCAAACACCTGACCCCAGGTGATCCACCTGCCTCGGCCTCCCAAAGTATTGAAATTACAGGCATGAGCCAGCTTGCCTGGCCACACTCACCTGTCTTTAAGCACAATATCTCCTCTTTGATCACCGACCCCCAAATGATCACCATCCACTCCAAATAGCTAGGAATTCTAAAGGCCAGTCAGCACGAAGAAGGGCAGGCAGTCAGACATAGAAGTGAAGATGGCAATGAGCTCCCTACTGCCTTTGCTGCTGTCTGCCATGTGGTGTCCTGCAGAAGACTGTTGTGCAAAGATGAACTGATGTTTGCTTCATCTCGGTTATGCCTTTGTTAGCCCATGTCCTACAGGTGTGCCACACTTGGATGCCAAGGAAGTTGCCCTGGTGTTCGTTAATTACTCTTCAAATGCAATATTCAGCAAACTTAAATGGGGAGATTCTCCTGGGTGATTCTATAGCTCAAAAGGCGTTGTCTCTAAGCTATATATTATGCCACCACTAGCCTTTTCCCATGAACATGTGCTTCTATGCGGGAGCTCAGAGCAATAAATGTTTCTCTCTTATCCTCCTGATGAATGCTCCCTTTGAGGTTAAAGTCACTTCTTGGTTCTAGGTTCTAGGTTCCCCTAATTTCAACTCTTGGGATTCATAGCTCAGGATCTAAGTTCGTTCTTTCCTTGAGAACTTTGGACTTCTTATGATAGTAACTTCACTTCCTTTCACAGGGATGGTTTAATGGGTTTTGCTGGGGAACCCATTAGGGCATTGGATACCCGCTGTGTCTACATTAATATACAAAGTCCACTTACTTGATTCCTTTCAGGACTGAAGTGGCTCTGACTTCCTTTATGAGGGAAGCATCATCTTCCTACAACATTTAATCACTCCTTCGCCTGGCAATGCATTTAATCTCTGTCTTAACAGAGACCTCTTATATTTTATTGTGTTGATTTCTGACTCATGGTAACTTCTTTCCATTAACTCTTTGTCTTTTAAAACTCTCTGGATAATAGGAGAAATATGCAATGAACTCTCCTCATACACCTGCCGTGTAGACACAGACATAGGGGCGATTGTTCTCTGATCTATCCAATGATGTTTTGATTTTTCATCATCATAATCAGTTCTGTCTGGTCAAGCACCAGTCTCTTAATTTAGTCCATATAGGGTTAAAAAGGGATATTTATCTCCCTTATCCTGAACTTCAGACTGCTATTCATGCAGCCCAGGGATAAATTCACTTTTTTAGCAGCAACATCTCATGTGAATTTCTTGAACTCACAGACAAGTAAAATTCTTCTTAAGGTACTTGTGTTATGTGTAGTCTGTGCCTGAATATTCATTTTATCTCTATTCTTTTTCTTATTTTATTCAGCTTAGATTTCAATTGTTTCAATAACATATTACAGATACTATATAAAATTTTAATTATTTTCAGATTTCATTGTAATAATTTCTCTATTGTCAATCAACTTTTTGAAAGAGGCCAAAGATGCTTCATACCTTTCTTCAGTTTGACATCCCTCTTTTGGTTAGCATTCTTTGGGTAAGAGTGCACAAAGATACCCTTCATGGACAAGGAATATTAAAGAATCAGAAAATTCTAGGTTAAAATCCTTATTTTTCTGTTATTTGCTGTGTGACATTAAACAAATTGCCTCTAATTTTATAAATAATTTTAAATATCATGGGGATGTTTATTGGCCACATTAGATTATTGTTCTGGTGTATGTGTGTACATATGTATATGTGCATGTATGTGCAAGTGTGTATGTGTTTCTATGTATATTCCAATGTTTATGCATGGTTTGTATGTATATACATATGTTTATGTATATGTGTGTATTTTGTGTGTATGTATGTATATGTGTTATGTGTATATTTACATATGTGTATGTATATGTATGTGCTTCTGTTTGTATGTATATGTGTGTATGTTGCTGCATATTAGGTGTGTGCATATTTGTGTATTGATTATATGTGCATGTAGGTGTCTGTATTCTGGAACATACTAAATTGTCAATAAACAGCAGATATTAAAATTAACAAGGCAAACTATGTCTATAGCCACCACACATGATACTCAACTGTATCAGAACAATGTCTTGCACAGTACCTGGCATAATAAACATTTCCCTCAACCTCTCTGGTAAATATAGATATAAAGGAAATTACATAATCCTGGCATGATTTGAACCTTGTGAACCTGTTGGTCCTTAGTGATCATCTCTTTACATCATGAGTGTTTACCAGCCTTTTATACTCTAACATTTTGCTAGGGATCTATCCAATGTCTTTGGCATATAGTTTAGTAAATTGAACTGCTTTGACTTCTTTGAAAATGGAAACATGTATTTGCCCTTTTTCTACCTGCCAGCAAGACTTCTGTTCTCCATAGTTCTTCAAAGATGACTATTTGCAGTTCACTGATGTCAGGATGTCATCTGAGCCATCTTTTGGTCTTGTGGAATGGAGCCTTCTTTGGTCATCAAAGTCTTTTGAAATGTGCATTTTTTTCAACCTCCTTACCTGGCTTAAACTTTAATTTCCTCCTCCCAGTATTTGCTTTCCCTTTTCCAATCTGACAATTAACCTTCTTAACCAATATATTAATAAAGTCTCTCTTGATTAAAAATGCAGGAAATCCAACTTAAACTCTCTTAGGACAAAAAGGAATACCTTGGCTCACATAGCTGAGGGATTCAAGAGTAAGGCTTATTTCAGTCATGGCTGAATTCAGGGATTCAGAGGATGTCCCCAGGAGCCCAGTTTTCTCACCATATTTGAGCTCTTACTCCTTCTGTGGAATGAGCTTTTGACCTGGTAGGGAAAGTAACTACGGATTTTGATTCAAATTCAAAATGATGAGAAACTCTTTCTCTCTCAGCATCCATGAATCAAATATCCTGGGGAGAATGTAACTGGCATATTTGGTTATATGCTCGTGGCCATGGCCAGGCAGGCTAGGCACTGTGGCTCATTAGACCTCATGAGATTCAGGAGGGATCCAGGACTGTGAATCAGTGATCTGCTACAACAGAGAAAGGATGTGAAAAGCTTTTCTTTCTGCCTGTCTTCTGCAGACTTTACACTATTGTCCCCAAATCTTTATGTTGCTTTGTGTATACTTTCAAAAAACCGATTTTCATCTTTCTTGGTAATTTTTGCAATATTTTCTTTATTCTCTTGGTATTAGTTTTCACTCATTTTTGTTATGTTTTGATTCTTCTATTCTTTGAAAACGGCATCTTTAAAATTATTCTGTTTAGGAGCTGGTTGAGCTGTCCAAGTGGTTTCTTTACTGTTTCTCCCTCATCTTCCATGATTAGACTCTCAGATCTGTGTTTTTAAAAGCCCAGAGTCTTTCGCTTCTCCAGTCTCTGCTTCTCTGGCTATGAGATCATGTGTATATTCTTTCTGAACCTCTGGAAAGCCACTTTCTTTTAGTTTGGAGCATATATATAGCTTTGCTCAGGCTTCAGAGCTTCCAGACTGTAAGAATCTATTACTGGTAACCCCTCCCTTGGCAAAGGATTCTACCATTTTCATTTTGCCAATGACTACTTTCTCTGCTGGCCAGAATTACGTCCTAAGCAGCTCCCTTCATTACTTTTTCTGTCTTCTGAAAGACGAAGTTTTTAGTATGATGTACCCCATGGTTTGCTCTTAGCTGATTGTGACTTCCTGGAGACGTTTGGATAAGCAGAATCTTCATCACTTCTCTATCTTGCCTCTGTATCTGTGACAGCTTTGTAATCAATGCTAGGACATGATTGCCCATTCTCTCTTCCCGGAATGGCTGTTTTACCAATCATCCCCAACCTGATCTCCAATAATAGTATCATTTTGGCAATTTGTTCTTTCAATTCTACCCAGATGCTCTTTATCATTCTGCCATTGCTGATTTTGTTTTTTGCAAAGGTATATATCTTCTTGACACAGAGTTCCACTCCCTTTGCACGATGTAGTACATTCCATGAAAGATGCTTCTCGTGAATTCTATTTCGCCAGGATGCAATGATGTTTATGAGGGAGTGTTCATTTTCTTGTTCAAACATCAAATTGTATTTTTGGTATATTGGTATTCAAACACTAGGAATCTAAGTGCTATGTCCTACTGCCTCTTATTTTCTGCTGTGAGTTACTAGGTACATTATACACGGTTTCATACTTTACAGTTTTACCTGAACTTTTCCCTCTTTTTTCCTTCCACTATTTCAATTTTAAATCCTCTAAAATAAGAGACCCCAGTGAACACACCCTTCCTTTTAGGAAAATAAATCAAATCTTATTACAACCAATGCAAAAGAAACAATTCTCATTTATCTTATTTGTACTGGGAATGTGTATTTTCAAATGACATTTAGAACAACAGGGCCTATAGATTAAGTTTGCAAAATTCTTCTTTAATGATTCTTACCATGGAGACCTATAATATGTTTGAGTTGTGACTGGTGTTCAGTTTGACCAAATATGCTACATCATGCTCCAAGTTATTCACATCTACAGAACAGGTTCCATGTGGGGCTTTTAAGGACTTTCCTGTCCCTAAGGGCTGAAGAAGTATAACTGGAGAAGTGAAAAATGGCTCACAGTAGTAAGAGTAGACCTTTTTCATAGCATAACCAGGACCTGATAGGTCTGAGGGCTCAGATAGAGAAGCTGCGGAAACCAGAAGTGGAGGTGAGGGGCGTTCTATTTCTGCCCTCTCTTACTTCTGTCTCTGCCATGTGCTCCTGCCTTTGCCCTGCCCTCACATTTGCTTCTGCCCAGATATTTCTCCTGCTCTTACCCCAGCTCTGCTCCTTTGTTGTGAACTTTGGTCCTACTTTGGTTTATGCCTGCCTTTGTCTCTGCCTTACCTCTTCGCCTGTCTCAGGGCCTGTGCTTTCCCTACAGCCAAGAGTCCTGGGACCAAAGGCATTCTGAATATGACATAAGAGTTTTGGAGCAGAATGCCTGGAGAAAGTGTTGAGTGTTTACCAGTTTCCTTTGCTTCTCCTGGGGTGCAGGTAAAGAAGATGAGGAGAGAAGAACTGGCATCAAACATTTAGAAGATAATTAAGAGGACCTCAAGCTGCCTTAGCAGAGTGCATCTCCTGAAGTGCAGATAAAATTGATATTAAGGCTCAGACAGACATGGAGATAAAAGTCCCATGAAAGAAGACCTAGAATTTTCATTGAATAGGACTCAGCACAAGAGCTGGCCCAGCTGCCTCATCATGGTTTGAGCCTTTGTTTTCTTATCTGTAAGATAACACCTAAGGCAAGCAGAAAGTTAATTTGCAGAATTATTAGAGAAGGCTCTTGGTATCAGCACCTATGAAAACGAAGGAGGCAAAATCACCATGGCATAGGGAAAAGTCAAGCCTAGGTTTGTCCTGCATTGATCTGAAGTGCCTGGACTGTTATACCTCTGTCTCCATCAATCATTGGATGAGGATCACCTAGGAAGGATGTGGGAGATGTGATCCTTGAAGGGGCTGTCTGTTGAAGGATGCTTGCTGATAGCTCTCCCACTAGTAGGAACAAAAAAGTCATTCCTGGAGGGGATCTGGGTAACATTTTCTGTGTGTTTCTTACCTGTTAAACCTGGTTTTGTGAGAGAAATTAACTGTAAAACTTACTGTAAATGTTAATTTATAATTCTTACCATGATCAAACATTTATTAAGGGTCTACTCTGTAATAGCTCCTTGATATAAATAAAAATACTAAACCCAATTTTTTTCTTTCTTTTTTTTTTTTTTTTTTTTTTTTTTTTTTTTTGGCTGCGTCTTGCTCTGTCACCCAGGTTAGAGTGCAGTGGTGCGATCTTGGCTCACTGTAGCCTCTACCTCCCTGGTTCAAGTGATTCTCCTGCCTCAGTCTCCCGAGTAGCTGAGACTACAGGTGAGTACCACCACACCCAGCTAATTTTTATGTTTTTAGTAGAGACAGGATTTTGCCATGTCAGCCAGGCTGATCTTGAACTCCTGGCTTTGTGATCTACCTGCCTTTGATTCCCAAAGTTTTGGGATTACAGAAGTGAGCCAGGGTACTCAGCTTGACTTTTTTCTTAAATGTATGTTATTTTTTTTCTCTTAAAGTCGATAGTCTTCTAGACCTACTGCAGTCGTCCTCAAACAACCATCAAAGCATCAGGGTCACCCAGAAATACATATTGGATACTAATTACGTTCAAGACTTTAGAAATGTGAATCTTTTCTGCATAAAGTTCTTCCTTGGCATTTCAACACCATAAACAGTAGAATATTTATGGCAATTGTTAAGCAGGATAATTGCCAATACATAATTTTAATACACTATGACATAATTACAATAAAAAAATTTACGTATTTTGGTACTTCTTGAAGAACAAAATTAAAAATGCTTTTAAGTTAAACATTCTCCTTGAAGAATACATAAATAGTGGTGTCATAACTGAGCCTCAGGAAAAAAATAAAGGGAAATACCATTTAATATGTTTTATTATCAACTGGGGAGCCAAAAATAAGTCATACGTAATGGAATTTCATTGTGTTGCAGTGGAATTTCCCCTAGAGTTTTATTAAAAGCTTTAACATAGTTTGAACTCCTCAGTGAAGTCAGTGGCCTATCCAAGGTCTGAGTCAGCATTTTAAGTAAATATGCTAATTTTTAGCTCAACAAAGAAAATGTTACTTTTCATGCATTTCCAATGTGAAACAATCTTTTTATTCTATGACTTATAAACTACTCGGTGAAACCTAACGTTTTGATTGGTTATATTAAAATTTACATTTCCTCAACAATCTGAGAATGGTTTATTTATTGACTGATCACAGTAAGAAGATTAAATTTGTAGTCCATGAATTAATAAGAGGTGTATTAGATACAAAGTTTAATACAAATCATAATAGTGATCATTTTGCATTTGTATCATTTTACATATTCAAAAGGACAAACCACACTCCTTAGTTGCTTTTTAAAACATTAGATATGTATGTGTATGTGTATGTAATGGAAGTGTAGAATAAGAAAATAGATCTAAAACGTTAATTTTTCACTTTTGTCCCCTCTTTAGAAACTCTACAGGTATAATACAAAATTCTTTAATCTTACTGTTCAGAGTGTAAACCTTGGATGAGAATAGGTGTTACTTGGTTGCCTGGTAGCAATGCTGGTTTTCAGGACTTATGCCCAAACTGCTACACTTATATCTGCATTTTACCAAGATACCCAGGTGATCTGCATTCACATTAAAGTTTGAGAAGAAATAAGTCTGCAGTTCTTTGGTCTCTAGCAAACTGAAGTTAAAATTCCATTTTTTAAAAACATTATCAAATAATTGCTTCTTCCTTTTAGTTATTTAGTTATACAAATAAATTTAAGTATAACATATTCTGAGGCATAAAACTCCACACAGAAATGTGAGTCATTGAAGTTAATTTCTGTTTTAAATTCTGAGGAACTAAAGGTATAGGGTAGAATTAGAAAGCTTATCTTTGAATAAAAATGTTCAAGTTATCCAGTTACAAAATATGATTAATAGGCCTAATTTCATTTTTGCATATATTTGACCTTTTCCATCAGAATGGTTTCCTAGAAATGTTAAATGGAGCATTCAGGAAGCAAGCAGAGAAAACAATTCCCATCAAATAACATTATTGACCATTGCTTACACAGAACAATTACCTTATGAACTATTTTATCATTTCTTTGCATAAGTGAAATTTCAAAACAATGTTTCCCCCACTCACTTCATTTCTAGCAGGTAGCATAAGAGGATTTGCAGCCCTGCTTGGTTTATGATTCTCATATTATTGACTTTGCCCTGCAGATAGATGAAATAGGACCTCAAATGCATTGGATGTTATAGTTAATGCTGTTCTTATGTCATTTAGAGATTGTTTTTAGATTAAGGATCATTTGACCTTGAGTTACTGTGGTTGCTTTATTATCTGATCATGGTGCCTCCAATAAGAGTTTGTGCAGTGCTTTCAGCCCGTTACCTCCCTGTGCCATTCTAAAGCTCCTTGCTTCAGAAGATCTCTCAGCATGGTTAGAACAAGGTAAAGAGCTTAAATAAGCAAACTATATTTATCAGCAATAAAAAGCAGTCCCTGGAAATGTCCTACCCAGAAAATTAATCTATAAAGGATAGCTATACCTGATGAAAATAGAATTGATTTTATATTCTAAAATTATTTATTAGTTTTATTGTGAGCAGATAATACTCTTCCATTGATAATAGAGACTTATAGAGCAGTTTCATGGCAGTCCCTATAAATAGATCAGAAAAGGTATTTTTTTTTTTTTTTTTTTTTTTTTTTGGAGACAGGGTGGCTCAGGCTGCAGTGCAGTAGTACTATCTTGGTGCACTGCAACCTCTGCCTCCTGGGTTCAAGCGATTCTCATGTGTCAGCTTCCGAGTAGCTGGGACTACAGGGCAGGCAGGTGCCACGATGCCTGGCTAATTTTTGTATTTATAGTAGAGACAAAGTTTCACCATGTTGGCCAGGTTGGTCTCAAACTCCTGACCTCAATTGTTCTGCCTGCCTTGGCTTCCCAAATTGCTGGGATTATAGGCGTGAGCCACTGTACACAGCCAATGGTCTCTTCACATTAAAATAGAACTTCACATGGTATATTCTGTAGTGAGAAAACCACAGAGAAGGAAGAATGTCTATAGCAGCTTCAATAAGATGAAATAGATGAAGTTTTATATGATATGAAACCAATAAGGAAAGTTTTTGGGTAAGATTGAGAGGTCTTGTTTAGATGGCTCAAGTTAGGGATAATTTCAATGCAAAACACTGAAACTATGCCATCAAGGAGACCAACACTGATGGCAGGTAATAAGGAGGCAGTAGATAGAATAATGGACTTGAATCTGGAGAATGAAGTTTCCATGCAGCTGCAGCTTATGTTAATAGCAGGACAATATTTCGATTACATGTTGGCAGTTACCCCTAAAATTTGAGTTGTTAAAATGCTGCAGCTTTTATTTTTCTTTGTTGGGGCCTCCCCACATCCAATTGCTATCCCGTTATCTAACATAGTGCCTTACATAAGTGATTATTACATATTTGTTAATGACGATGAAATTTTAAGAATATTTTAGGAAACAGTGGCCATAACATGGCCTTGGACAAGGGCTTAAATAACAGAGGCGTCAAATCTCTTACTGAGTTCTGTGGTAAACCTAAATAAAACAGCACCAGAGCTTTGATTGTATCACTTAAGAGTATGTTCACAGATCACAGATTCTCTCTCTCTTTCTCTCTTAAACACAATTGAGAAATGCCTGCAGCCCTGGCAAAAAGACATAAGCCAAATGTAGATCAAAGAAACATCTAAGTATTGTATTTTCTTAGCCACTGGTATGAAATGGGATATGATAATAGAGAGCAGTTTTATGTCTTACAGAAATAGAAAACTATTTTATATTTATTTTGGTCTTCATTCAAAGGCAATATTTTTAGATATTTCCATACCACCAAAGGACTTCTATCTCAACAACAGTGAATGGTGATGGACTTAAACAACAGGGTTAAAATTATTATAATAAAGTTATACCAGATTCATCTGGGCTATAAAAGTTAAAGATATAAAAATAGACTAGTCTTAATGTATGACTCACCCTCAGGAGGGCATATGCTTTTCCAGTAGCAGTGATAGGTCAGACCAGATCCATTTCTACTCTCTTGCCCAGCAATAGTCCCTGGTGGCATTTGTGTTTACTGGGGCTTTGCGACAGGCAGTGTTTAACTGCTTTACAGGAAGTACAGGGGCAGGAAAGAAATTATAAGACCTACTTCTACAGGCATGGAGTGACCAATGAGATTATTATAATCTGAAGTGTAAATGCTATCTTTATTAAAATACCAGGAAGGTGAGGGATCATTATGAAGATAACAATTCTATAAGGCAGTATATAATTGTGATTATAGAAATTTGGAAACCAAATAAATGGGTTGTCTGATAACCACATATTATTGATTGCAAAATATTAGTTAAATGGGCTGGGCATGGAGGCTCATGCCTGTCATGCCTGTAATCACAGCACTTTGGGAGACTGAGGCCGGCATATCACTTGAGGTCAGGAGTTCAAGGCCAGCCTGGCCAACATGGTGAAACCCTGTCTCTACTAATAATACAAAAATTAGCCAGGTATGGTGGTGCGCACCTGTAATCCCAGCTACTTGGGAGGCTGAGGCCCGAGAATCGCTTGAACCCAGGAGGCAAATGTTGTAATGAGCTGAGAACACGCCACTGCACTCCAGCCTGGGCAAAAGAGTGAGACTCTGTCTCAAAACAAAAAACAAAACAGAAACCTATTATTCACAGTTTTGGAGTCTGGAAAGTCCAAGATCAAGGGACTGGCAGATTCCATAGCTGGTGAAGGGCCACTTCCTGGTTTGTAAACAGCCGTGTCCTAACACAGTGGAAAGGGTGAGGGATTTCCCTGAGATCTGTTTCATAAGGTGACTGATTGCATTTGTGAGAGTGGCACCTTCATGACCTAATCACTTCCCAAAGATCCTACCTCCTGATATTCTCATATTAGGGGTTTGAATGTCAGCATATAAATTTAGGGGAAGGGAACACAAACATGCAACTGTATGTCCATTGAGAAATATGAGCAGAAGTGATGTGTTTTCTCTGTCCATCAGTGAACCTTCTCCATCTTCTCTTTTGCCATCTATT